TTCATTTCATATGAAATACATTCATTTTCTAATTGTTACTGTTTTCCCAGTCTGTCGTCACAAACAAAGACAATGCTCGATGTTTTATATTTAGCGCACTTAAATATGGAATACGCCTATGTGTTAATATTGTCTATCCCATCCAAAAATGCATTGCAATTATTCTTTCTTGAGCGTAGCTCCCAAAGTTTTCTTAATCTAGAATAAACCTCTATCTGGCCTGATGAAACTATGACATTAATGAAAAAATAAACTTTCCGAGGAATTTAATTGGTGAACCACTGGACGGTAAATCGAAATATGAAGATCGATATACTGACTCGAGTCGTACCGCATATACGGGTTTCTACGACAAAATTTCTTTTGCGATCAAACCATTTTTTTAACTTATCGGTATATTAAAGTGCAAGTCCGAAATTTGATTATGAATTGTGTTCTGTTCAAAGAAACGGATTTTTAAAGCAATATTTACATCTTAATTTTTTATTTGACTTTTTTATTTCGACAGTTAATAGTTAATTGTATTAACAACAATCCGGATTGTTGCAATACAAAAATATTACTTAGCGACAGGAAGTGTAAAATTACGGCATGAGTCTGGCTAATTATCGCCTGTGTTACACTAACTTAAACAGTTAACTCCTCGTTATACTGTGTCTATCATTCAATCTGCACGACACCTCATCTAAACGATAATAATCGGGACGGCATGTTTCAAATTACTAACATCTACTTAATCGTCATTTAGGACAATATGACGTCACTGTACCGCTGATAACTCTTATAATTTTGCAATTTTCAGCTTGTGGTATGATAACTGTACTCAGTAAAGCTGCTCTTTGGTTATAGTCTACAACACAAACAGGGACGTGTTGTCAATCATTCTTTGAATGATGTTCATACTTCTAGTACACCACAATAGAGGTACACCTTGGCTATTGTCATAGAGTGAGTGGGTGGTCATCTAATCAGCACGTCCCCTTCAAGGGTCAAAGGAAGTGCTTCGTCAACATGGAGGTGAAATCAATCTCTGGCCAGGATTAAATCTTGGTCACCAACAGGGAACACCTTATATGATCTGTTTGATAATATTGCGATATCGTTCACTCGAAACATGTACAGCGCCGCCAAGCAGATTTTGAGAGAAATTGTCGATATTAAAAGTTGTCTACATTGTATGAGTGACGGAGCTCAGGTAGCAGGATTCTATTCAACCAATTAGCTCACATAATTCGCACCTCGCTCGTTTCATTCTTTGTTTTAAATGTTTCTAATAACCCCACTTTGTTCAATTTAACAACAATAACTAATCAGTCGAAAACAATGGCCAAGACTAATTGAAACGAGCTGTTTTGGTAGGAATCTTACCTCTGCTCACAGTAGGCTTACCGAGTTCGAATTAGGAAAAAAAAGAGGCGTTCCCATTGTGGCTCTTCGTGGCTACCAATAGGAGACTCGCCGTGTTATGATCCATACAGCGTGACGATGTAATTGAATTGCTAGTATTATGATTGGTCTTTTGGGGATTGCAGTTCACAGCATGCCCGCTCTTTACTAATACTGCATACGTCAACCATACTTTTGTTAACTGTGACTGGGAGTGTCAGCGTTGTGAAAAGGCACTCCAGAGTCGTCGTTTAGTTGTGCCTTATACAAGCACACGTACAGCACTGTGTTGTACACTTCGCCATTTGCCGTACCATACATGTGCAACTGTACTTGCAGAAAAAAATAGCATATCAGTTAGTTGGCCAGGCTTGCGGGCGTTCTGTCATTACTTACTGAAAAATACATCTAGTCCTACGACGCCGGCGTAAAGTTTTTTTTGTTTCAGATACGGTAAATATAACTTCATAATTTTTGTTGCTCGTCTCATTGGGGTCACGGTGACGACTGGCTGGGTGAGATGTCGTATGTATTCGCGATGAGGCGATATTCTATCTTTCCGTTTCTGCATATATATTTTTCCCAAAATCATTGTTTAATATAGTTTGCATTGGTTCAGAACGTTTAACTGTAAGAATTCGTTTAAAGCTGGAATTATTTGACCAGCTTTAAAACCTGTATGATCCATCGTACAACACGTAATCGAATAAGACGAACTGTTTAATTCTTGTTCCGAATTCGTCGAAAATTAATCGTTTATTTATTTTTGTTTTACAGGCAGTTTCGTTACCGTGTTTCAGCAACGATGGATGCTACCATGCCAGCTTTTACATCAGAGCGAAATGTACATGTTGATGAGGGGATGCGTATGAAAACGTTAAACTTGGGTGCTGAGGGAGCGCGCCAAACAAGTAAGAAAAGTCTCGCTTTCTCTATCGATAGAATAATGGAAAGAAACTCCTCACCGAACAGAATGGTTGAAAACGAAAAACCCGAGTTGAATAGATTTTCCGCAGAGAAACCCATTGATCTGGCGTCTTTGGTGGATGAGTTCAAACGCAGAATGCAGACACCGAATTTCAACCAAGTGCTAGTACCAGAGTTGCCATTTCCGTATGGGCTTGGAAATGGGCTGACAGTCGGTCGGTTTGGAGAGCGGTCCAGCGACAACCATAACAACTCCTCGAAAGAAATTATCAACAACGAAATGCACAGGAAATTTTGGCACCCAAGTCTCACTCTACCCCCACCCCGCACGGGCTACGATTTATTTCGACCAGTTCCTTATTACTGTTATCCGCCAGCGTATTTTTTCGCAAGACGAGATTTGCCGGGAGTACCGGAGTTTTTAAAGGCAGACGGCTTAACTTCGGGCTTGCGACCTACGATAGAAACCAAGAACGGGAGTACTTCGTCGGCCGTCAGCGGCGCTCCCCACCACTCGGCGACAGGGTTCCAATACCAACACCAGGCGTTATACGAAAAACTGTCATCATATCCCCTTGCGTTGAACTTGAACGGATATAGAAATGAATCCAATAAACTGTTAGACGGTTTGAATCTTGATAAAGAAAAGGCCTTAACAAGCCGAAATCACACCGGGTCGAGCATGCGAACGAAGCGATGCGCTGCTAATAAACAGAAAACTTTCACATGTACTGAGTGTGGAAAGGTATTCAACGCACATTACAATTTAACCAGACACATGCCAGTTCATACCGGAGCAAGACCTTTCGTGTGTAAAATTTGTGGTAAAGGTTTCCGCCAAGCCAGCACTCTCTGTCGTCACAAGATCATCCATACTTCGGAGAAACCACACAAATGCAAGACTTGTGGTAAAGCGTTCAACCGCAGCTCGACACTAAATACACACCTGCGCATACATGCGGGCTACAAACCCTTCGTGTGTGAATACTGCGGTAAAGGGTTCCACCAAAAAGGCAACTACAAAAATCATAAACTGACACATAGCGGAGATAAGGCGTACAAATGTAATATTTGTAACAAAGCTTTTCACCAGGTATATAATTTAACGTTTCATATGCACACCCACAACGACAAAAAACCGTTTACTTGTAGTATTTGTGGGAAGGGTTTTTGTAGAAACTTTGATTTGAAAAAACACGTCAGAAAATTACACGAAGGTAACGACATGATGCGATGCTCGACCGCTAGTCCATTTGATAACAGTACGATAAGCAACGACTGTTGCGGCGACGACCAGAGAGAACACATTGTACTTATTGACGAACAGAAGACGAATGTCGCAATAGATTTAGCTGCACAATAATTACGTGTTATAACAATTTGATAAATATATATTTAAGAAAGAACACTCTTTGGCAAATACAAACTTGTGTTGTACAGTATAATATTTAAACCCGCGGTAAGCACCCGAGTTGGGTTAACGCGATTAGAGCTAACAGTTCTTTTAGCGCCACGGGGTTTAACCAGTAGTCGCAAGACAATTAAATTCAAAATTAGGCGATTACTGATCAGATCTGTATATATTGCTACCAAACTTATTTTATAGTAGAATTTCTGAAATGTAACAAGAACTATTGCAATGACGTTCATGAATTACAATTATCTAAACCGGGGAGAAATTACTTATATGTTCGAGGAAATCATTGAAGATCGATTATTTGTAATTTTTAGATATAATACAAGATATTCCGCATTTATGTGATGTGAAATAACCTTATATTGTGGATTTGTTATGGTCTCTGTATAACAGACATATCGAGTAAACGAATAATTGTTTTTACCCAACGTTTGCATTGTTAGTCGTCATGCTTTATATTTCTCGTTATATATAATGTATACACACAGATTTGTTAAACGGTATTAAATAATAATATATAGTTAAATTTTTATCGTGATGTTACTTTCTGGATTGAATCTTGTCACGATCAGTCACATGGAAGAGTTCTTTGTTCTACTAACTGTGATTCATGTTATCAGTCACATCAAATGCACGCAGTTTGATGCGTTTAACTTTGAATGTGCCACTTATGAAAACGTTACATTCATTCAAAATGGGACCCCTTTCTAAAAAAAATGGCCTTTGTTCGTAGCAATGACTTTAAAAGAATATAACACACGTTCGGATCGATAACACGACATCCTACAAATCTGTTCTAAATTTTGGCTGAATTTGACAACAATGCAGCTTGAAGTGGCGGTGTAGAGCCAATGGTAGCAGGTGTTAAAATACACACGTTATGTAAAACTTGGTTCCCATCAGTGGTTTTCATTTCTATTGTTTTCAGCCGATTATAAGCCAAATCGCCGTTCAACTATGCTATTTTCCTCGTTGTTTTCGAAGACATTTCAATAATATCTTATTAGTGAGACGAATCAATCGATTATCCTATTTTTTTATTGGAGTAAGGACACTATTTAAGACTAGCGAGTGATACCCCGCCAAACACATTAACACAATGTTTCAAACTGTACCTAGTACATCTCGTTCAAACTCTCTTCACTTTATTGCTCGACTCCGTGGTGGTTTGATGCCAATTCCCAGAGAGACACATTGTATGGAGCTTCTTTATATGGTTTTATTAGTAGTGACGATGTACGGTCTTTTTACGAGACAACCGGCACTTCAGTGAATTGTACCCGACTCTCGACACTGCTGACCCGCAATTTGGTGCCCGCCAATTTACGCCCAACGCTTGACATTTCTACACGATTCGATTCTGTGTATATGCGTTAATAGTAATTGAGTTAAGTTATATGTCGTGTACCGCGGCTAATTGCTCCATGCTATACACCTAAGTGCCAACAGGAGTGAGATAGCTTTTACAACGGTATTATTTTCATAACCCATACTCGGAACGTTGCTCAGTTTACAATTGGAATATTGGAGAGAAATAAAGACGATATTTTAATTGAAATCTTGTATCCTTCCTTTTTCTTTCTCTCTCTCTCTCTCTCTCTCTCTCTCTCTCTCTCTCTCTCTCTCTCTCTCTCTCTCTCTCTCTCTCTCT